TGAAAAAACAGCATTGGGAGGATCAGGGAAGGTTCTGAAAGGCATTGGGTTTGGTGAATGGCTGGCAGGGTTTCAGGTGCAAGCTTCTGGATTCCAAAAGGGATAGAAATATTCTCCCCTAGTCCACAGTAGAGCCCAAAGAATGAGAAATAATTCCTCTCTTGAGGCCTCTTTGTAAAAGAAATAGAACAGTTTTTTCCACAAAGAAAGTATACTTTATACACAGACCCAAAGTATATAGTTTGGTTTGACAGTTGTAGACACTCATGTAACTCATATGTGATCAAGAACGTTTCCATCACATCAGAAACATTTTCATTGCTTCATATACCTTCCCAAGCAAGACTTCCATTTGCTGTGTGGTCATGTCTGCCCCACAGTTTGGAGAAATGGTTTCAGATGTTTCTGCTTGTCTCACCTGTGAGAAGGATCAGATGGGTAGCAATGACTGCGTCATAATTTTTGGTTGCCATGGTTAACCTGGAAGCAGGCTACATGTGAACCTCTGGGGTGGGCTTACCAGCTGATGTCACCGAACAGAGGCAGAGTCTCTGTGACAACAGCTCCCTTCTGCGTTCAGAAGCTAGCCAGTGACATTTAAGCAGCTGTCAGACCTTGCCTGAGGCGTTTATTGGCTTGCACACAACACACTGGAATCAGGTTAATGTTGACACAAATAAGATGCAGCCTCATACCTTCTACCTCCAGAAGGAGTCCATAATACACATTCTGGGGTTCTCCCTAAGAGAAAAGACTCTTCCTGAGAAAACTGGATCATACCTTCGAGGCTACTAGCCAACATCACCATCTTCTATAGCTAACACTGCGATTTCCATTTATTAGGATTATTATAGGAGTGACTCTGTCAAGATGGCCTCTGTGGGGCTTGTCACTACCCTTGTAGAAAGGGACAGATTTGAGACATGGGACTTTCACTAGGAAGTATCTAGGCAGGTACTTACGCTGAGAAGGTGATTCCAAAAAGAGAGGCTTGGTTACCCAGTCCTGTGTCCTCTATCAGCCTATTTGTAGTGCGGGAAAATCTTTCAGCATGTGGGACCAGCCAAGATGGCTTATCCTCTCACCACTTCCTCAAACTGACATTCTGGCCAGTACATTAAAAGGACATTGTTATCTGTCTTACACACACAGCCTGAGGTAGTCGATTTTGTACCTGACGCGAGAGTCAACCCATTCATTTCCCACCATGTGTCCTGGTTACGAAAAACTGAGAGGGCTCAGTGTGAAGCATGCAGCCTGTGCTGAGCAGGGGCAGAAGCAGGAGGAAGCCATTTCTCAGGACAATGTCCATGCATTCTTGTTGGCCTTGTAGGTGGAGTGTAGCCTTGGGGACTGGCTCACCTTCCCACACCTGGTCATGAAAGAGAATGAATCCAGACTTGTCACTTGTGGTCTGTTTCTTTGGTCTCTAACTGCCAACTGGAATGGAGCTGGCCCTCTCCGGTGGCAATGGCAGCGAGCCATGGCCTTTTCATGAATGTCTGGAGAAACAAAGCCTCAGCAGGTCCAGGAGCGAAGGTTCAGGAGGGGCACGGAGAGCTCATGATTTAAAAAAAAAAAAAAAAAAAAAAAATGGTTCTAGATTCTTCTATTCTCCTTGTCAGTTCCCAGTTTTCCAAATTGCTTCCCTGTTGCCCTCATCTTCAAAAATGCACAAATTTTCAAATAACCTCTCTTCAAAACAAAACAAAAAAACATAAAAAAGAAACAACAGTCAATCTGCTTGATTAACATCTTGAGAGAAACCTAACATGAGTCCTCAGGGATGAAAACAAATGGCTTTGAGGCTGTGCTGTGGTCAGAAAGCTGAACTTGTCACTGCCAGAGCAAGGAAGGCAACCGAGTTCTCCTGCCCGTGTGACTACGATTGTACCCTTCACAGGACACAGTGACGCTTTTTGGCATTCAATTATGTTTTGCTATGTGTGTGCACACACACTCACACACTTACACAAGCAGAGCTGGAATTGAAATCATCTCAAGTGAGAATTCTTGTGATGCATTTAAGAGGCCTGCATTTGACAGGTTGCTACCTAGTTATGGACTAAAATCTCACCAGGCACCCCATAGCTTATCGCCTGTCATTTCAAAACAAAGACATCCTGCTTCCCCTTTCTGTGTCACATCTCATCAACTCGTTCTCAGCAGACTTTTACTTTCATTACAAGCTCAGTGCCACCTCCCTGACTTTCATCAGATGAGAACTTGAAAAAAAAAAGAAAAAAGAGAAAAAAATCACTCCGTGTTTTGACTCGGGCTCTAGGTGTTATTCTCTCAGTCCAGCTTGAAAGAGAAAAGCCCACCCCGTGAGGGGGCGGGCCTGCTTTTCTGTCTTCTGCCACGACAGGGTCTCTGAAGTGTGCGAAGAAGAGAGGAAGAGACAATTAACACTCAGCTCCAATCTGCATTTCCTTTCAGCTGCCATTTACACGCTGCTCAGGTTTTGAAAACCAGCATTTCATGCTACTCCCTAGAGAGCCAGCACCAGCTTCAGCAGGATCCATCTGCACAGCAGTCACATTGCTGAAATCTTCAGCCAACCCAGAATTCATTTATTTATTTTTTTGAACAAAATGAGAAAGAGAGAAAGGGAAAGAGCTCAAGTGAGAGAGCAACTAAGCTGAGTGAAACAATAGATTAGAATCCAGTGATATTTAACACATACGGGCTTGACCAGTCCCCACGCTGGTCCAAGCTGCATTGGGTCAGTGGAGGTTTTCTTTGATCATCTTCTGCATTAGTGTGAGCAGCAAGCGAATGAGCAAGAACCCGGTGACAACAGGGGATGACAGCCTGTGAGGTTTGAGGCGGGAAGGACACACTCGATAAGTTTCCGTGCTGCTCGTCAGCCTGTGTGTCAGCACGCGCTTGCTGATGGGAACAGCAGGGGGAAGAGCCATACTGGGAAGTCGCTGCTGGTGTGGGACAAGTTACAAGATGCTTTTGGAGACGAGAAATGTGTACCATCAGCTCCTGAGGCCTGACTAACTTGCTTTCCCCCAGACCCCAACGGCTGAGCACAAAGGCGTAATAGCTTCGGTAACCTTTGTGATTTTATCATTATTATTTTTAAAACTGAATTTGTCACCACAGGAAGTCACTGAGTCAATGGTCACAGCTGGCTTTTAAAAAGGGGTTGAGTCATTTTGTGATTGGTAAAATTGAGACTCAGCCTGAGATGAGGGCAATCAAATTTCCTGCTTCAAGGCATCGGTTGATCACTACAGGGGTCAGGAAGAAGTGTTTTTCTTATGCAAGTCCTGGCATGACAGGCTAGGTGAATGCAGGGGGAGAAAAAGGTTAGTTTATTCTGTTTTTGTTTTTAAGAGAGTGCAGGACTTACTTCAACAGATCGATAAGTGGTCTGATGCCACCCAGCCCTGCTCAGAGGGCGAGAGTGACAACAGCAATGCTGTGGACACACTGGCAGCACATGGGGCACTCTCTGTGGGCGTGGACTTATCGTGGGCAGGTGTTCTCAGGCAGGAGAAAGGACCTAATGGCAGGAGTAGAGGGGAGGGCACGTGGCAGGTGGAATAGATTTTAGGGAGTAAAAGGAGCCTAGGGCGATCCGTCATGGTGGTTACCATCGGGTTAAAAGAGCCCCTCTCAAAAAGAGGAATGTTTTGTAGCTTTCACTATAGCACATGCATATCATTTGGATTTCTTAGCTCACCAGAGGAGGGGTAAAAATAAGATAATAATAAACAGCATTTGTTTTTCTGGCTCTAGTTTTATTAGGTGCTACCTCAGCTCTGGAAGTCCTTGGTTATAAGTATGCACCCCTCTACTATTCTGACTTTAATACCAACCAGGGAGTCATACCACCAGGGTTCAAATCCCAAACTCACCTGGGCATGGTGGTACACACCTGTAATCCCAGCACCCAGGAGGCTGAGGCAGGAGGATTGAGAGTTCAAGATGGCCTGGACTACATGGCAAGACTCTCTCCAAAAACTCCCACACTTGTACATTTAATTCAAAATGCATTTAAAAAGGGCATCTAACTAGTAACCCAATACTATTCTAGGTGCTAATAAAAGGGTCATTCAAGAGCTCAAGGACTAAATCCCATTGCAAATATAAACAAGTACATAATATTTCAGATAGAAATAAATGCTACAGAGGAAATAAATGCCTATTTGTGATGCATTCAAAAAAGACAAGAAAACTAGAAGAATTAGAGTAAAAATAACCATGTAAAGAAGTTTGCTGTAAGGGGGAAAGAGTTATTTGATTTAGATGTAGAATCCAAGGAGATTTTTGTCGCTGTTGTTGCCTATGGTTTTTGTTGCACACTGAACTGACTCAGTAGAGAAGGCAAAGGGCATGATGCTGAAGTGATGTTCCTGGGTCTGGGAAAGCTTCTAGCATGAATGGAGCATTAGATTAGCACAATGCTAGAGTTATTTCCAAAAGATGAAAAATATTAACAAAAGATGAGAAATATAAAATAAAAAGCAGCCTTTATTCTGAGAACACGGAGAGAGATGACCGGCACCCCCACCGCTGGCATCCGGCGATCTCTCCGGCGGACACGCGGCGTGGGGGCCTGTAAATAGCCTCGGTTTGGGGTGGAACCTAAGGTGGGCATTAGGGATATACAGGTAGCCCATTGGTCCTAGGTTTGGTGCCATATGTAAATTTCCAGGGGCGGGAAGATGGCGTCACAGGTAACTTCCTAGGGGCAGGGGAGATGGGGCTTCCTGCTTCCGGTTGTGGCTTTCCTGGCTACAGTGTCCTGTCTGGGCCAAAACCCTTTCACACATAAGATGGACAGTTCACCTGCAACAACAGGAGCGGTGGTACAGTGCACAGGTGTAATTGTGCAAAGATGGGTCGGTGTGATGGCTGCACCTGGCTTAATGATTACCCCAGTGTCCTCAGTGATGGAGCTCAGATACAGGTGTGCAGAAAGGGAGTGCTGGCTTTAACTAAACTCAGGGGTTAGCCAACGAAGAGTAACAAAGGGTGGGGATATTAGGGCAGCTGAAGGTGTTTGCTGGAGGTGAAGGTGTTTGCCGTGAGTGACGCACAATAGCCCAAGGGAGCTCAACAAGACGGAAAGAGATGAGCAAAGTGATGGAGGACAATGAAAACGTGCCAGGAACAGTGCTTGGTAGGTCTTGGTGTGGAGCAGAACTGTTGGTGTTGGGAGCTAGAGAGGAGAGCTGGAAAGGGCAGGTGGGGATCTAAGCGGGCGATGGGGATCAGCATAGATGCAACTGTAGTTGAGTGACTAAGCAGGGCATGAACTTGGGATGCATAGCAGAAGAGGGGTACAAGCAAAACTATGGGTGAAGAGGGACTGAAATCACTTGGCCAGCACTTTCAGAGGAGTACTTCCTTGTAGAAGGAGCACATCTCCAGGGCCATCTTTCATGCTGTGTGCTTTACACATGTGGTACCTGCCTCTGAGGAGCCAAAATGGATGGCAGAAGTAGGTAATGGTCACTAGTAGGTCAGCAGATGACTACCCTAGGGAGTAGGGAAGGACAGTGACTTAGAAGTGACCAAGACAGTGCAAGGAACAGAAGCAGAGACATTGGAACAGTGGCAGGCCTGCCATTTGTTGATTATGTGACCCTAGGAAAGTTACTTAACCTCCTCGGGTGTCATTTTGCTCAGATACAACATGGAGATAATGACTGTACCTCCTTAATTGAGTTGTTTTTGGGGTTCGGTGAGATAATGGCTGAAACGTGTGTTTCACTGTATTAGGACCACATTGAGTGTACATGTCAAACTGAAGCAGTTTTATCAGTCACCTAAGTCACCAGAGTCCCAGAAGAGACAAGTGAGCCTCTGGCAGGTGCTGAGGAGCTTTTAAAGGAAGATGAGGCCCTGGGCTGAGCTGCAGAGCTGCTGCGGATGTTGCCATGAGAGGGGCGGGTCAGAGCGGAGGGTGAGGAGACAGGCGCCAAGCCAAGACAACAATTAATGATGCAGAGGGCTGAAAGGCTTGACAGAAGAAATGGGAGCAAAACATGTTTCTAATCAGAGCCATGAGGAGGGTTTCCTGGAGACTTTATTGGTAATTGATGTGCCTCTGACAATAATTAGAAACAATTTCTGGGGACTTACAGGGTAGAGTCACCTCGTGATATTATTTACCACAGAGAATGGTGTCTGGAGTGCAAATGGATGTTATTGTTTCCTGAGATCACATTAGAAGGTGACTTCACGGTGAATAGATTTTTCAAGATGTTTGACATTCACTGACTTTCTATTTAGCTCCTCTTAGTCACAGAGCACATTACCGTAATGATAATATCTGGATTTATCTCTTTAATGGCAGAAGATCTGTGAGTGACAAATTTTTCCTCTGTGGACCTTCAGCTTTGCCTGCTAGAGGCATTCTGGGGTGCACTGGGGCATGGTGCAGTTCAGCCTAACTCCTGTCCAAGACTCATTTACAGATGCCAAGGGCCTGGGCAGCATGAGTGAGGCTTCCTTTTCTGCAGTGTGAGATTTCCTTATCTAATTTGGGATTAAGTAAAGTAAGTAACTATAAAATTCTTAGCAGAATAACTAGACTCATAAATTATTATTATTATTACTATTTCTAGGGGGAGTCTTTGGACCTTCTGTATTAGCAAGGTCTGACCCCAGGGGATGGAGTCCAGTTGTGGGAGACTCAGCAGCTTACTGGAACCATGGTGATAGAGGACTATATTCCTCAGGGAGGCCCCAGGCTTGTGTTTTTCCTTGAGTTGGCTCCTCTTTGTGTATACTCCTGGAGGCAAGAAACCAAACTGCAGCTCCCTAGCAAGAATATCACATAGAGTTTAGCAACCAAAGCTTTACAGACCAGACTGTATCCATCTGCTTGTACCCCTCTGCACTGTAAGCCAAGTGGGAATTGCAGTGGGGGCAGGAGGGCCTGGGACAGACTTGTGTGAATTGTAACCTAGTCTCAAAGCTAAAGTTGCCAAAGGAGTCCTGACCCCTTTCCCTGTGTTGCAGTATAGTTTACCAAAATGGGAAACAAATCAAAGGCTTGTTGAACTCTCGGTCCTACAGAGTTCTCAAAAGGAAAGCTTGGAGAGAGTTACCCTTCCCTGGTTGGGACTGCCCCAGACAATAGAGGATACTGCATGTAGCATGGTGGCTTCTCCCTACTAAATATCAGTAGCCTTCTATCTCATTCTCATTGTAATAACCAGAAAGGACTCGCAGATTTCAAAACTTTCCAGTCTGAGCGCCTCCGAATAAGTGGCAATGTGCCCAGAATGTTCTCAGTGCAAATAGACCATGGTACAAGTGGGTCTTTCTTTTCTGGCCAGTCACCCACTGGCTTCATCTGGGTCACTTCTCCACTCCCATATAAGAATGAAAGAGGCCCCTGGGGCTGAACAACTATTAAAGATTGCACGTCCTGGCTGTCCCCTTCCTGGGCTCTGGAAAAGCAGCATTAGTCACATCACCTCAGCTTGTGTTTTGTGTTCCAGTTCATCACCTGCCACCAGCAGAGCGAGACTTATTTTTCAAGCTAATGAGATTTAAGGCTCAGAGTATCTTCCAATCTCATACATGAAAGAAGCTTGATAGAATCCCCAAATTTGAAACAAAACAATCCTAAAATTTTATATGACACTACCAATAACTCCTCATCTGAGAAGTTTGGCTGTGGAATGATACTAACAATAGGCACCGTACATCAGGTGCTTTCAACAGTCCTGTGCATTTGGGTTTTTATTTCTCCTATTTTATTATTCATAAAATTGTGGGGCAGGGACGTCATAGGTCTTGCCCAAGATCACGTAGCCAATAGAGGTAAGAATCAAGATTCAAACCCCAAGCTTTTGTATTTCAAAGCCCCTTGGACTTTGCACTCAGTTATGAAGCCTCTCAAGTGGGGAGGAAAATTAATGCATTGACTCGAGTCCAGGTATAAAGGACAGGGTGTCCTGGGCTCTTGTCTGAGACAGCAGGTAAAGGAAGAGGTGTGCAGAGCCCCTGAGGAGAGGGACACTTGGCTGGAAGGGGAGAGTGTGCAGCTGGCAACAGGGACTCATTTTCTGGAGAGCCACCACTCAGGAGGAAAGATAAGCAGTTTGGAGAGGAAGTATCAAGCAATCCGTTTTCAGTCTCAGCTCAATCTGGAAGTTCCTCATTCTCAAAAGAGTAGTGATTTCTCCTCCTTTTTGCTGAGGAAAGGACATGGGCTCTCAGATTTGCAAGTTAGAGAGCAGAGGAGCAGAGCTGGTGAGCAGAAAGGAAAATTTGCCACAAGAATTCTGCTTGCTCTATTGGAGGGGGCAGCTATTTGACAAGAGTTATTGGCAAAGATTTGGTATTTGAAGTATGTTTTGCGTAAGTGCAGGTGCTGAGAATATACAGTTTCAGAAGATGATAAATAAGCCACATACACAAGACAGAGATGCCTGGAGTGCACAGATGTGGTCAGACACAGCATGCAGCACAGAGATGGAAGACATTCAGCAGGACTCTGTTGGGTCTGTAGAAAGGGGTGCATCTTACCACCAACAGGCGAACGTGTTTCTGCAGTTTCTTAGAGTGAGTTTGGAATGTACATGAGAAACCTGTTTCTGTCACATATTCAGTCTTATGTACAATTATGTTTACACTGGCTATCTCATTTGCATCATGGTAATCCTTCCCATTTATGCCATCATAATACAAAGGGTTGAGAATCCCCAGGTAACTTGAGAGTTAGCAAAATGAAAAGTGCACATGTCCTCTGAGCCAGTTGTTGGAATATATCTTATGGAATTACTAGTATGAGTACAAACAGCACAGGGACAAAGACATTTATTACAACTGGCTGAATAAATTCTGGGTAGCAGATAATGGGCTACTTGCACTTGTTAAACAAGCTTTGAAAATTAAGTGAAAAAGCAGTGTATATTTTACTGTGCAATGCACATTCTCATGAAAGCATATATGCCAGCACATATTAAAGAAAAAAGTCAGTGCATACCTTTGAGAGCTGAGGTTAGAAATAAAAAGTCTTTTTCACTTTTTACTTTATATCCTTCCCAAAAAAGTATGAAATGGTGAGGTTGTGGAACCTATGTTGCGTTTATGATAATGCCTCATTGCTGCCTAGGTTAAGTACGTGGGTTCTAGAGTCAGATTATGTGATTTCACAGTCCAGCTCTGCAGCTGTGCTGCAGATGGTGACAGCAGGTGGGTGAGCACACTTCTATTTACCTTGATTTTCCTGTTTGTAACCAATAGCAGTATGGAGTTCATGAGATGGCTGGGCTTTGGAAAAAAACTCGGTCAATTTTAGAAAGGAAGGGTAATTTTTCCTGGAGAGATTAAGCACACTGTTGTGGGTCCACAGGTTGATATTAAGCAAAGAGCTATTTGCTTCTGTTTTTTCTGGAGATTGGAAAGTTGGAGGCAGAAATAAGAGAGGGTGTAGTGAAATTCACTCAGAATGCTTTTCCTCTCACAGTGGATTAGGAGACAGTCACAGGGAAAAGCCAAGAATGATCCTTTATTTTTATTCCTGCCCACTTTCTTGGTCCAGAAATCTTTTCCTCCCAGAGGCCAGATTTTCCAGGCCTGGAGTCTGAATGTGGAACAGTGCGCCTGTCCTTGTCCCTTCCTTAAAAAGCAGGGTCCAAGGCAGCCCACACTGTCCCCAAGGTCTAAGGCCCCTCAGCAAATCAGGCCCAGCTGGATCTGTCACCAAGTTTTCATCAGCTTTCTCTATCCTGTGGCTTGGGCAAATGGTCAGACACTAGAAGCTGAGTTCTGCCTATAGTGGAAGTTGGTTTCTCAGAATTTACTCTTTGGTTCTAAAACTGTGGCCACTGAAAATGACTCATGGTCCCATTTGTGATTCCTTTTCAGATACATTTCAGGCCAGACAACCCAGCATGTTTGAAATTCACAGTGTTCAGTTCAGATCTCAGCATGTTTGGCTCTTTGACTTGGCTGTTTAATGTATTAGAAAAGGTCCAATGAAACAGAAAAGGGTCACCTGGTACCCACACAAAGACAACTACACCCTGAAAAGTAATAGAACGTTGTGGAAGCACCAAGCCTGACAGTAGCCCTCCCTCCTGCTGGCTTAGATTGTGCTGTGCCTCTGGAGGTCACTTATAGCTCTGGGAACTCAGGTGCAAACCCATCATCCTGACA